CGGTTTATGAAATCTGCAAATTATCATTTTTATTAACATCACACAGCGTCACAACATTTTTAATTGGGTTTAATAGCCTCAACATTAAGGAAAAGGCACTGTGAGCCAGGACAGCAGCAGTGAAATGATGCTGCTGTGAGCTGGTATTATTCGCCATGAAGATGAATGTGTCCTGGAAAGACAACAAAAGAAACAGAGTTGCAGTGAGTCTCTGCAGTATCTGCTTCCTGCAGCTGTGGATGCTCCTAAAACTGTGAAGAGGATCGCGGTCTCTAAATCGGCTCAAACAGATTTGGTGTAATTCGACTCGCTTCTCCGTGGCTACTGCTTCCTAGTCTTCTGTGTAAGGTGTGAGGAGGCTGGGAGAAAGCGGGGAAAGGGAGAGCCTGCTAGGGTCACGGGGTCAGCCGGGTTGGCATGGAGACCAACCTGCATCTGTTTCTAACTGTGTTTTAAAATGAACCGTTGCAGGGATAGCTGTGTGCAGAGCTACAGACATAGCAGACCTGACTCCGTCCCTTTTCTGCACTAGCTGAGCTGCAACCTTGGCTTTTTCAAGCTGTGATCAAAGCTTTTCAAATAAAGAGATGCAGCGTCTGCTATGATTAAGACTGCAGCCCAAGTTACATGATGCAGCAGATGTAGAAGGGACAGGAAGGTTCAGGGCAGGGCTTCAGATGTAACTGCAACTTAGGTGAGTTGAATACAGGCAAAAAAAAAACAAAACCCTGAAGTTGAGCAGGATGCAAAATAGAAGAAAAGCCGAGGGCACAAATACCCACCAGTATGAAAGTCTTTCTACTTTGATACTTTCCAGCTCAAATTCCCGTCTCTTGCTCGCTGCTTCCCACCTTTAGCATAGAAATGTAAAGTACCCGCACTTGAGTAAATATTTTTCTGACAGCGTTTCAGTTTTACACTTATCTTAACACAAATTTTCAAATCAGGCTCATTACTTTAGATTTAAACACTTCTTCAAACATCAAACCGAGCTAAGCCTCGATGAAGGTAACAATAATACAAAGACCAGTTCTGTTGGTGCCTCCATCACTGCTATCCCACACGAAGAGTAATCTATGTCTCGTTTTTTTAGCTCTATGCTCTGGGGTTAAAGGGATGATCTGAAACAGCATCTTTGCTCATGTCCATAAGCTCCATCTGACCTCGTGCTACAGAAAAGACGTGAGGATAAAGCAGGTGACACTTCAAGGGCAGCAGGTCATTTCAAAAGCAATGTTTCTGATGGTTAGGCTACATCACGATGACCTTGAATTTAAGGCGATGATGCTTAGATTCATTCAGTGAATTCAGCCTTTATATTAACTGTATTCAGTCTAATATGCAGGCAGTGTAAACAGTATACTGTCAGTGTAGTGAGTGGAGATCAGACAGATGGTGAAATACAGGGTTACATGTCGTTGTGTAAACCCACAGAAAGCTGTAAACCTCAGCTGATCTCAGCCTGTACACGAAACTCATTTTTCTGTTTGGGTGTGGAAGTTTTAAAAAAAAGAGTTTTTATTATTATTATTATTTTAATATTAAGTTAATATAGCACGAGGTTGAATTAGCTCTGCAGAAAAACAGCTGGTAGAAACGTCCTTCAAAGAGCT